GAAGCCCGCAGGTGGATGGAGCGACAAATACCCGCACCTAGGCGCATCACCACTCCAAGTGGCCTAGAACAAACACTTGACTAGGATTTTAGACAACAATGAATATTTGGGGATGGCACGGGTCCCGATGGGCGCGGGATGAGCCGGCAACTAGGCGTGCCACTACATCCCAGTGTTGACATTTGTCATGGGTGCGCATTCTCGATAACGCCTGCCGCACTCCGATGAAGTCCCGAGTTGGTACAGTACATCTACCGCGTGGCCCGTTTTAGGGGCACTGTGACAGATTTGCGTAAACACGTAAGGCGCGCGCGCAATTAGGGAGAAGGTCGCCCCATGAATGGCTGGTTACACGTAGACTGACAGCTAGATCCGTTGTATTCGGAGGCCAGGCAACAAGGGATTAGAAAACACAGGAAAATGGTCTCAGCCTAGGGCTACTGAGGGGTAGATTGGTCTAAATTTGGCTGTGAAATGCGAGATACGCATTGTTTTAATAGCTTTCTTGTAGGCGGTGACGAGATACCGAAAGGTCATATTATAATGATCTTAATTGGACACTTCGAAACGTGTCATGTAACATTGTCTAGGGAGAACCACAAAAAGTCCAGTTGAAGCAGACTGCGGAAAACGACAGCTCACAAAAATCGAAGGGAGGGGGGGGGGAGTCAGCAAGCAGGCCTGGACTGACGACCAGACGCGGAGTTATACACCTGAGCTATGAGCGACACGACTGTCGGCCGTGTCAATAGATACGCCGGCCCTTCTGAATAGAAAAAGAATGTTTTTTCAAGGTGGGCCCAATTTCTGTTCATTATACAATAGCAAGTCTCGTATAAGCATTATATATACCCGATCGCAACCGACAGGACGACGAGCCCATGGCTCAGTGGTCAGGGGCGTTGAACTTTCAACCAACAGGTTGTGCGATCGAGCCCCACGTGTTGCACACCTCGGGGTTGGGCATGGCTGGCTGCCGATGGCAAATAAGCCAGAAATTGCCGCTCCAGTCCTCCTTGTTCTTGTCGGAAATGCTAATTCTGCCTATATCACGCGACACGGTTCGGCTGCTGGCGGGGGTCGAGAGAGAGCCCTAAGGTCTAACGGGACGAGTGGGTTCCGTAGCGCGATCGGTGAGCGCCCTTCTACCAAAACTAAAAATCTTTAATGATGACTCCGCTCAGGGCTTAGAGTATTCTGTCGTTAAGCACTTCGCCACTAAACACTTTTTGAAAAATCGGAAGGCCTACAGCTCGAACCCTGTTACATGAGTTCTCGTTTGGTATAGTCTGCTGCCCCTAGAGTATTTTCGCTCATTCCATAGAATTTCCGAAAGAAGTTGGAGTCGGCTTCCAGAAAGTGGACTTTAAAGTTTAGTCGGCATTTTTGGTGACGATCATAGATTATAAACTATTGATACGTCTGGCGGCGGATCATATGATCAATAAACTGCTGGTTACGTCACCACCCCGAACAGCCCAAGTCTCGGACAGGTGTTTCGCCGATTTTCCGCGACTTCACAGGAACTAGTACTATGCATTTGGTTCTGTTGTTGATCCCCAGGGTTCACCGCGCCCATTTTGACAGTACACCAACTAGTCAGTGTAAGTTTCTAGTGTACTCATGTATTATTAGACGAGCATGAAGCTGGAGTTATGCCAGAAGAAAGCATGGGGGCGGGACAGCTCGGACTTGCATTATGATAGGGAATTGGCAAGTCACCCAACAATAAATAACAAAATACTTTGCCTACTGCTTAAAACTAAGTAGAAGTTTATTATGCCTCCTGAAGTTGACGCGCCCTAGTGAGATCATCAAAGTCCTCTGCCTCGATTTTACAGTTGGGTCGCAGGCATATGGATTATGCCAGCGCCGAACAACGCGAACTTGAATCGGATCCTCCCTGCACGCATCCCCGTCAAGTGTGCTGCCTGAAAAACAGGAGGGATCCCGATGGACACGAGCATATCCTCACCTGTGGATTTTTCTTCCCCCACAAATAAACGCAAGAGACGCCATAATTTTTGTTGATCCTTAGGGCTTCTGAGCATGAAGGGCCGAAAAGAACTTCCGCGAGCTGCGAAGTCGTGTAACCTGTCCGGTGGCACGTTGGATCACATTCAGTATCCAGACTGACATTTACTAGTTTAGCGTAAACTGCGACAAGCTACCAGGACAGACCACTTTGCCAGGAGTCCGTCCTGGTTTCGAAGGGACACTCCCGGCCTGAACCTTATCATGCAATTGAAAATTGCGCAGACCGATGTCTGGTCTCGGAGACCACAAAGACTACCTCAGGCTCATTTTCGAAGTCCACTTTGCTCGACCACATGCCAGTGAGATATTAACTCCAGACAGGCTTCGACTTTTTGAAGTTTTCCTAAAGCCGGGGGCAATAGAGTCCGCATAGATTACTCGAGCCCAAAGCCGTTGGAATGCATGTGCCGACTTGGTGTAGCGGCCTCAGTTCGCCCGGCAGCGATTGATGACCCCTTATTCGAAATCCAACTAACTAGTTCATGCCTGCATTCATTCTACTCCTCCAGTGTCGAGCAAAAAGACAGTGTTGAAATGCCTGAGCTAACAATGTGCATTGAGGGGAAGAGGTGTGTAGGGGAGAGTTAAGCAGTGAAAATCGCCGTTTCCTCAGTTGTTGAAGTTAGTGAGTCAAAAGAGGCCGAACTTCCGGTAGCCACAAACTAGATGCAGCAGCTATTACAAGCATCATCAACCCAGTTGGACCCTGCCCAGTGGAAATACATCCGGACGGAAGCCATTTTTGTTGGACAAGGTATACACCTCCGCCGAATCGCAAAATGGCCTAACAAACAATACCAGACACCGAGCAGACTTTTTCTATCATCTTCGACAGTCTTTTCTGAGAAAAACTCTATACATACTCTATACATACTCGCTAAGCTTGTAAAATTACAAAACTGAGGCGGGGGGTTTGTTGGACGTGAACAGTAAAGGTTGCCCACTGGATCAGCCTGTTATGACAGACAATCGCTCCGCACCGGCATTCAGCTAAGTTTAGGAGACGGAGCCCATATGGCCTGCAAAAAGCTTACTGAGCCCAGGACCGTGCCGCAGAACCGGATTGCCAGCGGCATCGTTATGGCAGGGAGGGCTACTGGTATATCTGCAGCACTTGATTGGTTTCCTGAAAACTTTAACAGGTGTCCACACTGTGTTCGGTGACTGTCAACTGTGTTTGGATCTGGCTACCGACTCCCGTTTTCTAATCTAAGCGCGGATAAAAGAAACTTACTCGATAGATTCACAGATTGGGTGAGAATTCATCAAAGAAAACGCCTAGCTACTTAATAATATGTTCAAGTGATCTCGGGCACAATGGATCCTTCCTATGTGGAGAAAAAACGAAAACTTGGAATGGCCGGTGGCATTGGAAAGGCTGAAAAGGTGCCGTGTGATCATCCGTCAGTTGGAGAAATGGATAGTGGGTCGCCCACTCTCGCTGGATGTTTGCGGAGTATCCGTGACCCGAGACCTCTCTGTTTGACCTTTTAGATGAAGTCTAATCAAATTAGCGCATTTGGAGTAAATGGCAGAAGACTTTGACAACCCCACTTAAGAAAATACAAGTCTGAATGAAGGGCAGTTGAGTTGCCAAGATTTGCAGACAGTCTTCGAATGCAAAATGCATAGGAGTGAAAGTGAAACACGACTGTTAACAAACTGTCGAATTTTCCAAATCAGTCAGTCAGTCAGTATATTTGGAGTAAACGACAGAAGCAATAAAAACTCCATTTAGAGGGTACAGGTATAAAGTAAAATAGTTAAATTGCAAAACTTTTGCTTGCAGTTTTAGTAGGGAGAATTCATAAATCTAATAATATAACATAAAGGTGAAAGGGGTATTATATTCGCAAAATAATTGCGAAAAACTTTGTTCACCGCATTCGGACTGTGAAAATTTCAATATGGGCTAAGTTTGACGCAAAAAATAGGATTTGTTGAAATCATGTTAGTAGTATATTTATAGTCATTTCAATAATCCGTTAGATCAGGCTTCGGCAGTTTGGTTTGCCTTTCAGCAGGTGAGTATCCAGTTGCCTCTTGAACACGTTCACGGTAGGGGAATTAACAACAAACTCCGGCAAAGAGTTCCATTGGCGAATGACCCTCTGTGAGAAAAAGGAGGAACGTTGATTTGTGTGGCATAGTTCCCTTTTAAGCTGGTAATCATGTCGTCTGAGATTGGACTTGGGTGCCATTTCAAAAAACGTTTCCCAGTCGACATCCAGATTAAGTCCTTTTACCAACTGGAACGTTGCTATGAGGTCACCTCTGTCCTGCCTGTAGTGGAGGGGATAGAGGTTCAAGGCCGTCAGGCGCTGCTCGTACGTGAAGTTTTTGAGGCCATGAACAGCCTTTGCAGAACGCCGTTGTACAACTTATTGACTGCAGTAGGCAGCCAGGGCGGGATTTAATGGTACCGAAAAATTTCGCGACGGCTCGTCAGCTGCGTCCTGTCGCTTCATAACATAGATGACGAGTGGGAAGAATACAGATTTGAATTTGTGCAGAAAATGCAGAAACAACAAGTTCATGGTTTTGGGCAAAGCTGGCTAATCGATAAAGTTAGTAACTCAAGCACCGTATGGGAAGAATAGAGAAAAAAAGGAGGGCGTTAATGAGCAAAATGGGGAGAGGGAAGGGAAAATCCTGGAAATGTAACTCGGTATACGCTCTTTTCCAAAGTACTAGGAACATTTTCTCCAATGACGCACTGGATGCAGAACTTGCACGCCTCAAGGAAGCTCGGCTTAAGCGAGGATATCCTGCACGTT